GCAGGGTACCTGCTAGAACTACAATATTACCTCTATCATTGAGCTTAACTTTTATGTTTCTTTAAAATTAATAGTTTGTTTTTAATAAACAACTAGATTTCCCGTAATTTGGCTTGTGAGACTATCTGCGTTGACACAAATACATGCATGTTAAGTAATTATGTTCCCCCAAAGGCAAGCCACAGAGCTGCAGACATGTCTCAGCAATTCAGAGGACCTGATGTCAGTTTCTAGCACCCACATAAGGTGGCTCACAAAAGCCTCCGGCTCCAGGACATTTACTCCTCCAGCTTCTGGGGGCACCTGTCCTCATCTGCACAAAATCTGCCCATCACACACACACACACACACACACACAATTTAAAATAATACACACAAATCTTTTTTAAAATAAGTCCCACACAGTCTAAGGCAGTGGAATGATTCTCTTTTTAAGGAACTTTATGGCTACACAAAAAGGCTCAAATGTCACATCACCTCAACTCTAGTTTTAGTGACTTCCTGAAAACCAAAGACTCCATCAATTTAAAATTTCAGGAAATAATCCCAGAATCACTCAGGTGTATCATACATTGAAAGTTTTCTCATACTAATTATATAGGAAGTCACACTGGGCGGTGGTAGCACCCACCTTTAATCTCAGCAGAAACAGGCAGATCTCTGTGAGTTCAAAGCCAGCCTGGTTTACACAGCGAGTTCCAGGACAGGCTCCAAAGCAACACAGAGAAACCCTGTCTTGAAAAAAAAAAAAAAAAAAAAAAAAAACTAACAAAAAAAATTATACAGGAAGACTTTTCAACAGGATTTACTTCAGCAAATTATATATTCCAATGACCAGTTTTACATTTTATGTGTCTATTTTTTAAGTAAGCTATGTTCTTTTAAGAGTTATTAATTTTGTATTCTACTTTAAGATCTAAAACTTTGAAAAAATAAATAAATGTTGAGACTAAAAAATTTTTGACAAAATAATAAAATATAATACTGCATTCTGGCACCATATACCATCCTAAAATTTTGTTTTGCTTCCAGTTTTCTTATAGTATACTTCTGTCTACTGAAACCAGTAGTCTTCTTATTTCCCCTCCTACCAACAAAACAACGTAAATAATTAGAGAAAGTACAAAGCTCAGGCACCAGCAGGACAGTGACATGGCTGGAACCCTAAGGTAGTGAGAACTGAAGCTACAGGTAGAAATGACACCAGCCTGGCAAGAGCTACAGGCAGGACTTCTCCTCTTGAAACAAACAATGCTCTTTCTACAATAAAAACACGATTTTAGTTTAAGCTACTAGGAGAATAATTTAGAACAGTCTTATGAATTTTTAAACAGCATTTTGGCCTCAGAAAATGACAAGCAAAATGGTATATCTGCCAATAATTATTTCTTTTCTGATCATTTCCCACAGTAAAAGCTTAAAGAAACATTAAGCCAAATGAGCCAATATTTATTAAATTAACCACAATATTAAGACTTTATTACTCAAAATATTTAATTTTATGTAATTAAAAAACCTCCTAAAATACTTATTAGACAATTTGATGAATCCCTCAGGAAATGAAGTATATTAAAAAAAAAAATCACTGAACCCTGATTACATAATTCTTTACAGAGGTCAACACACCCTATGATTTTGTTTGCACTATGCCATGGTTCTGGTTTTAGTAGTTTTCTAAGGAAGATTAGCTCAAACACTAAGAAATCCTTTCTCTTGTGAAAACTTTAAACCTGAGTAACGAAGGTCTATGCACTACCCTCCCCTAATTCTAGGAGATAAGACAGGAACCTTAAACCTCAGTGCAACTGTGGTATCCCACATCTTGTATAGTAACACAAAGTAGCAACAAAGACATTAACAATCACAGTTCAAGCTGGGACTGACTCTTCTGTTTCAATTCAATGACACCACTAATGGCTTCTTAGCAGCTCCATGAAATCAACCAGCTGTCAAGTTGATGCATCAGAAGGAGCAGCTATGCACTCCCATAAGAAAAAGCAACACATCAGGATGTTTGGCAAAACATCTGCTCCTTTACACTGCAATTCTATAATAAACATGCAAACAAAGAAATGGGAGAAAGGGCAGCAGACTCCGAACCCCAAGCTTCCCATTACAGTTGATATGCATTTTAAGCAAGTGGTTTATATAAACTAAAAACAAATTTCTGCAAAGTCCAATACTTTTTAAGATAGTCTATTTTTTGAAAAAGCAAATACACTTACATTCTTCCAGAAAGACCAGAATTACACAAAATATTTACATTTATAAATTAACAGTCAACTATATTATAGTAAACTGACTATATTCAAGTCAGTATCACGGTGTTATGTACAAAATTCAAATATTAAAACTAAAATATATTCTTTCACTCCATACTATCTAGTAAATGAGGCCAAATAGTATTGTAGTCAATGCATTTCCCAAGACTGAGCAGCTAAAATCCCATTCTCACAGACATAGAGTGAGTGCACAGGTTAACATAGTCAATGTACTAGTTTATCCAACCCAAAACAGTACAGATACACTACATTTAAAAATATGTACCCACTCCTATTTCTCTGAAAACCATTCTATGAACATATTAAGTTCTTATATCCTGTTTTAAAGCATACAATCTGATATCTCTTTAAAAAATTCTATCACCATAACTTAAAAAAAATTACATTCAAGATTTGCTTTAAATATTTGTAAAATCTGACTCTTCTACTGGAACATACAAATGCAATAATGTCACCTAAATTATTGATTGTGCAGCAGTGTTTACAATAGGTGTGAGACAGCAGTGTACTTAACTACCATTTTCTTAAACTGCTTATCCTCTGCTGCTTCCATTTATAATCTGCCAAATCTTCAGTCCTTTGTTGCATGTATAATTTAGAACCATCTGTCCTGTGTGCTTTTAACTATTTCAACATTTCCACCTACCTACAATTCACTAAATAGCAGACGTTCAATTCAGTCAAGATTTCTATGTAGCATTTTATATACAGGAAATTCCTGAATAAATAGCAGAAAACAGTAAAGAATATTGCTACAGAAATTTAAAACAAACCATTTACAATGTAAGTTTCATACACTAGAAAATCCTCTTAATGTATTTAGAATTTTTTCTTTTAGCTTTTTAAAAGTTTATTGTCGTCAATGTTTTTTTCCAACCCAGAAGACAAAGGGAATGCAAATTAAATACAGAGAGTTTCTCGTCCTTGTTAGAAGAGATGTAAATATGCTGACTGAAAACGACTACTGGAGACAGAATTACACTTTCCCATTCAATTTGCTGTGCCTATTTATATACTTGGCAGTGAGTTTATCATTAAGTATGGTCATGTGATCAGTTCAACTTTTCTTGTAAGGTGAAAACAATGATAGACAAATTTTAATTGTACTTTTTTATCATTATTCTTATGATAGTTAATAAAGTCTCAACAAAAGATTATAAATTATCTTCTTTTAAGGTTAATTCTGCCTTACATATATTAAACTTTTTTGCCAAACTTTTGACTTTAATATTTAGTACTAAAATGTAAAAGTATCAAGAATCTCATGATATTCTGAATAGCTTTTTTAAATATAAAAAAACACAAAAAGACTAGACCACAATCACAAAAGGGAAAGTACATAACCCAAGTGATGTAAATATTAACTGAGCTAAATTTGCCAGATCTATGAAACCACATAAATAAGGAAATATACTGTTACAAATATATTTGAAAATTTCAAAAATAAAAACTGCATGGACAAAACTAGGTGAATACTAAGTGATACAATGAAAGTTTCGATCGTTTTTTAAAAAATAATCTTTTACTTGCTACCAAACATTAAGTGTGCGTGTTTTGGGGTTTGTTCTGAATACAAAAGAAAAAAAATAAACCCACAACTTATCAGTAGGCTCTAACTTAAACGATTTCATAAAACGTGAAAATTTGGGGGGGAAAAAACAAAACATACACACACTTTGGGGAAATTTTCTTGATAAAAGTTTATATGACGTCACATGGCCCCCTGAACCGTTCCTAAACTTTGAGCCTTATCCAGACACACTTTTTGCATTTCTATGGCTTTTTTCTCTTCCTTAAAATTAAAATAGAGACACATAGACTTGGGAATAAAAATTGCCCAAGATGGCGAAACGCTTGTTGTTTAGAGGGCAGGGGGAAAAATGGAGGATATTGTAATATACACAAAGGGATAAATTTCAACAACTCGGCCACGGACTGCAGCTGCTTCTCTCTTTACAAGGAAACAACACACAAAAGATAAATACTGAGGAGAGGGGCAGAGGAACCAGCCCCCACCCGCAGGGCCGGCTCCCAGTCTCCGCACACTTCCTAGCCTTTCCAGATCCCAGTTCTGGGGTTCGCGGAACTACTTTAGGGGAGGGGAGCGGGGCGTCGCGGGGGAGGGCGCGGAGACCGAGGGCAGGGAGCCCAGCCCGCCGCGGCGGGACCTTCTGGACAGGCCGCCGGGGACCCGGGAACGGGAGCCCGCTCGACCCCCGTGCCAGATCCCCGCCGCCCGGGGCCGCAGCCCCACCCCCACCCGGCTCCGGAGACCGGGCGGCCTGGCGCGGGTCGGCGGCGCGGGCGCGAGGCTGCGGGCCGGGGGCGGAGGCGGGCAGGCCGGGGCCTCGCCAACTGCCCCGCGGGGCGCCGCAGCGGGCCGGGCAGGAGGACGCCTCGAGGCCGCCGGCGAGGGCGGCCGGCACAATGGAGGGACAGGCCCGGCCGCCCGGTCCCGCGCCCGCACTCCCTGCAAAGTTTCCGTTCCGCCGAGCCCGCACCCCCACCCCGCCCGGGACCAGGTCCCTGCGCCCTCCGCCCAGAACTCTACTCGGGACCCCAGAGCCACCGCGGCGTCGCAGCCCGCACAACAAAGAGACACACCGGGCGGCGCGGGTAAACAGCGGCGGGCGCCTCGGGAGGGCTCCAGCCCGCATCCGCCGCTCTCCGCCCGGATCCCACCTCTCCCGCACCCCGCACCCCGGCTCCCAAACTCACCTTCACTTTCGAACGGAGTTGCGCGGTGGAAGGGATTTTCGCCCTTCTCGGGTGCAGGTTAAGCTTTTCGGAATCCCCACCGACTCCTTATTTCTCTTATAATTTCTGCGAGAAAGTCTAGGGAGTTGGAGTGGAGGTGAGATCCGTGATCGCAAAAGCCCCGGCTCCCTCCGGCCCCGTCTTCCGCCGCTCTCTCTCTGATTAGTTCCTATCCAGCAGCAGATTGAAGCAGGAGATGATTCTTCTCAAGGTTTGTTCAGCAGCTTCACTTCTAGGCGAAGGCTTCATGAACCAAGTGACGTCAACCAACAAGGCTTCTCTCTCTCTCCTCTCTCTAACAATGAAAGTTGCTGTTAACAAGGGAAAAAAGAGCGAGAGAATTGTTTATACCATTTCAGTTCCAATAATAAATGACCTATCAGCTCTAAAAGGAGCCAAGGGAGGGGGCTGCCTCTTCATTCCAAGAATACTGTATCTTTGAGTTTGTACCGCTCCTCGTCCCAGGAAAAAGTTAGAAACTTAAATGTTTTGTTTTGCTTTTTAGAGGGGGGAAAATAACTGAATATTTAATTTCTTAAAAACGTAAACGGACTATTAGGGAACATAGATTAGCCATCTCCACCAACTTTTTACGTTTGTAAACTAGAAATTGCGTTGGAGTCTACAAGCTAAATTAATGTGCCAAGATTTTGTGCATGCTAGGACTCCAAGAGCAGGGCGCAAGGCGATCTCAAGGTAAACTGTTACTGCTTTTCCCTGGACGAGCTAAACTGGTTACAATGTTCATGGTTTGTGTCAAAATACTATTAAATTAAAGTTGTTTAAACAGTAAGTCTTTTGCAGTTATTGGTATAAATTGTAAGCCGTATTCTCAATTTTTTTCTAGTTTCGGTTAGAAAAAATAAGAAAAACGAGTTTAAGTGTAAATGCTAAACACTTGAAAAGACCGGTTGCCCTAAATTACCAACTAACCAGGCGGTGTACTATCTGATCCCCAGAATGTCAGCCAGCTGACTCAGTTTTTAGCCTTCCACTCCCCAAGTCCCTTCCACCAATCAAGTTAAACTAAAGGTAAAGTGCAGTCTGTTCCCTTCAACAGTGTACGGCAGCCTCCTAAAAGCGATTTTAAAAGAGAAAAACCCATAACCACAGTACATTTTATTATCCAGGAGAAGTAATTTTTAAAAAATATTTGTTTAAGGTGTTTTTTCCCCCCTTAAAAACACAATAAAATCTTGAAGTTTATAAAATTACAAATTAGGTGATTTGGTTTTCAGGATAAAGACCAAGTTAAAATTTAGTTATTGGAGAATAATTTGACCATATATTATTTTATGCATACATATGTGGCTAGATGTATCTTAAAAGACGCTATTGTTTTATGTTTCCTCCTCAACCACTGGCTGTGATTTTAATTGTGCTGGAGGATCTTCATTAGTATTAACACATGGGGAGATTTCACAAAGCTGCTTCATTAGGAAGAAAAAAAAGCTGGCAGACTAGGTCTTTCTGCACGCACTGAGAATGTCAGCCTTACCTCGGTCATTTGTAACATAATAAGCGCAAGTACAATGATTGCAGGCAGGAGCCTGGGGGAGGGGCAGAGATACTGCCTGTCTAATAGGGGCATCTGAAAAGACGCTGCTCATTACATAGTAATGTATGCTAAAAATTAGTGAAGATGATGTCTCGGGAGACTGATGCTAAATAAATTAATGTGCTGATATGTTTTTAATTATTATTTTTGTAGTAGTTTATTTCAATGTGAGGATCACATCGAGCAGCAAAGCTGCGCTAGCACTTATTGATTTTCCCTGCCACATTCCCGGAATACAGATTTTAATCATTTCTCTACACCACACTCAGTAATTTCATTAAAAACTGGAATCTTCCATCCCCAGAAAAGCATTTCATTTCAGTGACATACAATTTCTCTTTTAGCAGAAAACTGTCTCTATAGGAAAAGCTGGCCTACGGTTCAAATGCATAATTTAATCCTGAGTTTTCCATGCTCTGCATTCCTTTCAAACTATAATTTTAGTAACTACCTAATAACTGTAATAAAGACAATAATTTCCATACAATATATTATTAACTCATATTTAATTAACTCAGATGCCAAGCGTTATACATGTATGACTAGGTCAACAATCCCACCATCTCAAAATTTACTTATAATGTGCATAGGAAGAATAGATTAAAATATAAATATGAATGTTAGCAAGTAGATTATGATCCTAAATCACATTCAAAAAAGTTCTTGTGGGGGCTGGAGAGATAGCTCAGTGGTTAAGAGCATTGCCTGCTCTTCCAAAGATCCTGAGTTCAATTCCCAGCAACCACATGGTGGCTCACAACCATCTCTAATGGGGTCTGGTGCCCTCTTCTGGCCTTCAGGAATACACACAGACAGAACATTGTATACATAATAAATAAATAAATATTAAAAAAAAGTTCTTGTATTATTCTATAATGGTGGTCATTACTTAAATGGAATTTAGCGATATTTCTATACATAAAGTTCAATATTTCTATTTTAGTATTATATGTTACTGACACTTTGCCTGGTTAATATTAGCTTAGGAGAATAAGGGGCTGATTGCAGGTTGTCTTGATTTTCTGAGCTGTCTTGAGATGCAATTCGCCTTAAATTAAGACGAGTGGTGCACTATAACTCGTACAACCAAGAATGCTATTCTGCTTAAAGTAAAGTTTGGTCTATAGATGCTAAGTTGGTCCCTATATAATGAGTTTCATGAGAATACGCAGTTTACATTGTTTGACTTTTGGGGAGGAAGAACATGTGGAGGAAAATGATAATAACGTATAAAATAATTGGTTACAACAAAAAGTATCATTCCTTTGAATGATTATAGAACCAGAGTTCAAATTGTCTTAAGAGTATGTTCATGCAATTGAATTTGAAGTCACCAACTAGTCTCTGGTTGTGACTTACAGCAAAATGAGCCGGACCGTCCTGAGAAGGTTTGAACACAAAAAGAAAGTGGTTACAGTGAAGAATTTTATTTCAATGTCATTTCAGAACATTTGGGGCGGTGGTGGCGCATGCCTTTAATCCCAGCACTCGGGAGGAGAGGCAGGAGGATCTCTGTAAATTCTAGGCTAGCCTGGTCTACAAGAGCTAGCTAGTTCTAGGACAGGCACTAAAACTACAGAGAAATTCTGTTTCAAAATACCAAAAAAAAAAAAAAAGAACATTTGAAAACTTATCAAGAGTTTCTTGTCTAATCTGGAAAATACTTTTGTGGCATTCTCAAAGACAAATCAATAGTTGACACCTAAATTTGTAAACTAATTTCATTATTTTTACATCAGTAATAAAACAACTAATTTCATTATTTTTACATCAGTAATAAAACATTTTTATATTAAAATACAGCTTATTTTTGGTCACTGAAATAAAATTAGCTATCCCATATAACCTATGTATATATTTTTTGTTTTGTTTTGAGACCAGGCTGCCCTGGAACTCACAGAAATCCACTTGCCTCTGAACAATTTAGCCTCTATTTTTAAACTGATATTTTAGTAATGATGTATTAGTAATCACCCCCCCCCCAGCAGGGTTTCTCAGTAGCTATGGAGCCAGTTCTGGAACTCACTCTCTGTGGACAAGGCTGTCTTCGAACTCACGGAGATCAGCCTGCCTCTGCCTGCCTTTGCCTCCCAAGTGCTGGGATTAAAGGTGTGCACCACCACCGCCAAACTGTATTATGATATCTTACTCCATGCACTTGACACCTTCCTACAAAGCTACGCATCGAGTCTTTTTTAAATCATGCTGTTCCTTTCTCATGTTTACACATTTGACCATAGAGTTGAGAAAAATCAGATAAACTACAACTCAGCTCTTAGAGCACTTTGTCTTCCACTCAAGATCACTTAATTCAGCACTAAACCGTGGGCACAGTTGTGAAAGGATTTAATGATGGAGCAATCTCTTCTAATCTGATGATAATCCTGAACTTCTGGATACAATCGGCCTGCCCATTGAACTAACGGGTGGTACTTGTTTCCAGAAAGCAGCTTCTGATTTTAGGGTCAAGATAGACAGAGATGCAGAGAGATCCAATTTACTACTGGGAATACTGCCAGTGGTTCCAAAAGAATTCCGTTTGAACAAAGAAAAGCTCTACAGCAGTGCTTCCCAACCTGTGGGTCATGAGCGCTTGGGGACTGAATATCTGATATTTACATTACTATTCATAAGAGTAGCAAAATTACCAGGCAGTGGTTGTACACGCCTTTTATCCCAGCACTCGGGAGGCAGAGGCAGGTGGATCTCTGTGAGTTCATGGCCAGCCTGGTCTACAGAACAAGTTCCTAGATGGGCTACAAAGCTAAACCTTGTCTCAAAAAAAACAAAAATAAATAAAATTTAAAAAGATTTAAAGAGTAGCAAAATTACAGTTATGAAGTAGCAACAGAATACTTTTATGATTGTGGGTCACCACAACATGAGGAACTGTATTAAAGGAGTATACTGAGGTGTCCAAAGTCATATCTTATTTCTGTTTCAATCACTAATGAAGCTTTCTTTGCTTTTACTCATTGACCAAACATTTGAGTGCTTGCTATATGCTATGCACTGTGCTAAATGCTGCAAAAATATTAAGAACTCACTTTCTGTTTGATGTTGGAAACATGAAATTCCTGAGAGTCAAACCG